ATTATTGTCATCAGAGCTGCTACAACATTAAAGAAATTCCAAAGTAGCAACAGATGATTCTAAATCACGAAATAGAAATATTAACTATAAATCATTCCTACTGCAGAATGCACAACCCGAATTTTGGTTTATTCAAACCTTGAAAACTTTTCAATTTTTTGAGGGAAAAATAAAATAACACAACCGAATCTTGAAAGATAGGAAAAAGGAATACCAATAAGAAAACTCAAAAGGAAAGATTACAGTTTTTTTTTCTAGTTATTTTAGCCAATTAACTGATCTGTTCAGCCATTTAAAATGATTTTATCAAACATGACATATGTGCTGGCAACTTATGATGAGCTTCTCAACAAAGGCAGTATTTTAGTAGTAGTTCAATCAAAGCTCAAGTCCTCCCAAACGGGGCCAAAGTATTCAAAGAGGCTGTTAGAGGACAGCCTTTCAAATGACTCACAATGTTTTGGGCTTTTCACCAAAGATAGTCCATGGGGGCATGAAAAATCAGAAGCTAGTGCGCTTCAGCCCAAATTTGTCACTTTAGGCTCTGTGTTATTTCAAACAAACATTGTTTAATGTTTATCACTTTTCCGAGTCGACATTTAAATGATAGTGTTGCTGCCAAGTATAGGGCATTGCATAACAAAGTAAAATCACTGATGTCTGAAGTTGATGAGTCCAATCTGTAAATAGAAAAAGAATACACGTTAGAGGCTTCGGATGTTATTTTAGGGCCGGAGACTTCAACGATCAAATTAGTCAGGTATTTAAAGAGGAGTCAAACTAAGCATGAGATAAGGGTTCAGCGCTTAGTTCTTAAGAACTTAGACGAGGTCTCTCAAGAAAAGAAATGTAAGAGAGCAAGAGTAAACAAGATGGATTTACCTTGAATTGGGCACCCCCTTTTATATTTGACCTTACCATAGAATGGTTGGAAGTAATTGGAGATGAACGACCAGGATGACATCTGGTCATGCCACATTAAACAATCCGAGGCCATGCCATGTGCGCCTACTTCAAGAAGGATTAGTAGTTGCTAAAACATGACCCAACTCAAAATTATCCGGAGAAAAAACTGACAAGTCAGTTAAATAGAAGTTATGATCTGAAATGAGTTTTATATTTATAGTTATTAAACCTAAAACTTGAGGCCTTGCGACTTCCTCCTCTCTGGGTTCTAGCTTCTTGATGATCGTGAATGGAACTCCTGCGATTGCTTCTCTGCACGCTTGTAGAACAAACCAAATCAAAAGCAGAGTGTGGGGAGGCCGAAGCTTCAAGAGCGTCCCTGAATTGATATCCAAGAATGCCGCATGCAATTTCAGCTACGTCTGGAATGAGGACGAGAGATATTTCACTTACTCCCTGAAAGAAAAATTATTTTCCTCCGTCACTTTGGGTGCTGGATTCTGAAGGAAACATCAGGCATACAAGTTGTACAACTGAGCTTACGACAAGTACAATAGTTTCAGTCTGTGCCCAACCCATCTGCCCTACAACTACTCCAAAGAAAACAGAAAGGGTGTGTGGAGCAGAAGGTACCAAAGTGAGGTGAGTTGTTCTATTCCAAACAGGGATATATGGATGGACATGGATCTTTCTATACGTCCTTGGGTGCGAGCTTGAGACTCATAGATTGTGCAGACATACTAGCTTTGGAAGAGAAATTTTACCGTTCCGGAATCATTCCCCTGGGATCCTATTCCTATCTACATTCTGGGCATAACCAAGTAGCTCTTTATTAATCATTCATTGTTTCAACAATTTGATTGTAGATAGTAATTGATTTCCAATGCAGTCAAAGGATGGGTGAGGGTCGTTGTACACAGTTGCCATAATAGCCGGTGTACTGATGCCTTTGTTGGGTTTGGGCATCTTTTGTTGCTTGAAGAGAAGTCTGAGATATAGAGGTTAGCTCTCTTAGTCGACCTAAAAGCTGAAAAGGAAATTTCTGTTAATTAAAAGATGAGCAAGAACTTATTTTTTCTCTATATATTCAATAAAACAAAATGAAACAAATCAAGAGAATTTATTACTTGGGGGCGTTCTTTTTTTAGATTTGGAGAGGAGGAAAAGTTGGTCAATGGGATTTTGGTTCTATTGACCAAGAATCCCATATTCTTTTTTCAGATTTATGTGTTTAGGGGAAAAGTTGCCAACATTTAAATGTGACAAAAATAACTTCTAATAATAGATTTTTATGGCTAAAATGGTCATTGACTTATTTACATGAAAAATAAAAAAAAATGGATAAATGTATTTACCCGAATAAGTGTTTCCCAAGAAAAACTTACCCAATTAATTACATTTACCCAAATAACTTACCAAAAAACAAACKGAACCATGAAGTTGAAGACGAAAAAGAAGATCGTGAATTAAAACTATTCAGTCTATCCAGCATCTTGGTCCCAGAGAACTTTTCAGCAAAAAAATAAACTTGGTAAGGGTGGATTTTGACTTGTTTACAAGGTAAGCTGAATAGTTTTAAACTGAGGAGCTGAATAGTTTTAAACAATAGCAAAGGATAAAAAATGGTAATCTGATAACGTTCGTTAGTCTAATTAACATTCACATGGCCATAGGGGATTCTCTCACGTTTCCACCCAGCCTTTTTGGTGCAGAAATCCGCGTGTTTCCTCCGCTCCAGCCACCAGCGTCCAACGGCAGCGATAAAGAAGAGGAAGGCTGTCGGTTGCCTCGCTTTTACATGCCCCACGCGTGGGCGTAATTCTCGTTTTTGCTTTGTCATCTGCTTTCTGCTCTGCGCCTGCGGAAACCATTTATATTCTTCAACGGTACCACGTCCTCAATCCTCATGTTATTGGTGGGAGTGGGACCTATTGCTCCAACTTGAGACTTGACTCTTGAGTGCTCCATTATACAACCATGGCCATTGGGCTCACTCCACTGCCTCACCATTCACCATGTAATTAGCCAATAATAATATATCTTCGCTTTTGGCCATAGCACTTGGTTACTACTTACTGGTTCTGCCTCACCCACGCCATTCTTATTCCTTTTGGATATAGCTTATGCATGCTCATTGAAATATATAATAGAATGCCTTTTTATCTTTTTCTTTTTTTTTAAAAAAAAAAAAATTAAAGACCAAATTTAAGTTATGCACTGTCAGAGTTCCTGTTGACATTACTATCAAAACATTTGGTGGCCCACTTACATTCATATTTTCATCTATATATCTAAAAATATTGACTTAGTCAAAACCTGCTTGACTTGGGGAATTGATTCGTCGACCCAGTTATTGTTACACTAAAATGTGTTAAATTTTCAAGAGGCTATATTTTTGCACTTGGTTGGTACTTGATTTTTTGCTGGATTGATCTTTTTTTTAATAGCTTTTTTAGATTTATGTATTTGCATTTAGACTGGGCTTGGACTTGGCTTTTACAAAAATTTGAATGAGCCCAGCCCAAGTGCGAACCCTAAACAGTGACCAGGTCTATTTGTAAAATGTTAAATTTGTCATGTTATTTTTATCAAAATAACCCTTTTTTGGCTCTCAATTTCAATTTTCATTTTTTTTTCATTTAATAAAGTTTAAAATCATCATACACCTAACCTTTTAAAAACATCAAATTCAAAATTTGTCCTACGGTCAAATTCCCTTCTTCTTTTGCATAGCACGATCACATAATTAAATTTGTTTTTGAAAGACGCGAAAAACTGTTGAGCCCCATTAACAAATACGCATTTATTATAGCAAATACAAATTCAAAAAAAAAAAAAAACTTAAACTCACCATAACTTTTCAAAATGTCTAAAACTCACCATATTAGTAAGTTTTTATTTTCCAAAACTCACCTTCTGTTAGTACACTGTTAATGCTTTTTAACAGAGGTGTCCGTGTTAGCATAAATAACAATTTTCATGACCAAATTACCCTTGAATGGCGAGTTAGAGGAAAAATGGTCTTTTTAAGTTTTCAATTTTCTTGTTTTTTTGTATTTTTAGTGATTTGTTATAATTTCCAATGTTTTTTTATAATTTCTGTTTTTTTTTTTTACATTTTCTATTTTCTAGTCTATAAATTTTCCTGTATTTTTTGTTATTTATTTGTAATTTCTGTGTTTTTCTATAATTTTTATTTTCTGATTTTGTTTTTCAATTTCTTTAGTTTCTATAATCTGAAAATAACTTTTTATTTTGTTTGCAATTTCTATATTTTTTGTAATTTTTATGTTTTTATATATCTTTTATTTAAAAATATTTTTTAACCTTTTTCTCTTTTTTTTATGTCTAAATATTAAAATGGTAATATATTAACACCCGTTAATTTATTTTGTATATATTTTTTATTTTTTATGAGGGTTAAAATGGTAATAGATTAACACCCATTAGTCTGTCTCACGTCAAGTTAGTGACATGGTGTATTTTAGACATTTTGAAAAGTTGACAATTTCCCTAATTAATAAAACTTTCATCTAAACATGAATTGATTAATCAAGTCTCTTAACTCTTGTACAAGAGATTTTAACGACCTTAACAACCTTCCAAATCGTAAAACTATAGGGTCAATTAGAAGCCCGGACGCCCTTCTCATTCCTCGACCTCTACCAGTGATCCCCATTCCCCACTCAAACACGTGAATTGGGGCTTCTCGTACGTTGAGTAGTCTCTATTACTGACTACTGCAACTGCCTCCTCCATTGGTTTCGGGGCTTTTCTCTGTTTCCTAAGCAAGCAAAATCCAAATTTGAAGAAGGCGGACGGATAGAGATACCGTCGGTCACCGTCAGAAGACAGCCTTCCTCTAATCCTCCTTTCTTCTTATTCTGAAGTTGCAAGTTCGACCCAAAACAATAAATCTGGTATAGAGATTATAGAAGAACAAAAAAAGAAAGTGAAAAGAAAAAAAGTAATAAAAAGAAAAGAAAAGGCATCTCATAATAGCATACCATACTCCATACAGTGAGCGATATAGTACATTGGATTTACCACCAGAAATTTCCTCCACTTGAATCCTTTTTATTTTTTTTTCTTTTATGATTTTATCTCCACTCCACGTGACGCTGAGCTTGCAGACGGACAGCTGCTTCCCAACCCAGAGCCGCTCTCTTTGTCACATACTGCTAGTACTGCTGTCTACTTCGGCTCACCCATCCATCCTCACACCATCGCTCTCCTGAACATCGAAACTAGAAAATGTGTGGAATGCATAGAAGCTAGCTTGTGGCTGAACAGAGAGAGAAAGTGAGGGAGGTCCGATCCGACGACGCTGAAATGAGAATCTCGCTCCAGGCCACATCTTTTCACTAACAAAACAAATGCAGCAGCAAAGAACTATCCCTTGAGCAATGTTTTCGTCTCTCCTTTCGATTATTGTTTTACTCTCTCTGCTCAACTTAGTTCCACTTCCTCCGGCTGCTGCTTCTGTTTCTCATCCTCCGGCGCCGTGGATTTCGCCTCCGTTGAACTCAGGACCTCCATCCGATGCCCGCTCACTTCTGGCATTCAAATCTAAAGCCGATGTGGATAATAAGCTCCCGTTTTGGAACGAGAAGCACTCCAGATACTGCTTCTGGCAGGGCGTCAAATGCGTAGATGGTAAAGTGGTGCGCCTAGTTCTAGAAGGTTTTGGTCTTGCCGGTGTGTTTGCTCCCAACACATTGATTCGCCTTGACCAACTCAGAATCCTCAGCTTGCAGAACAACTCCCTCACTGGCCCCATTCCCGACCTCTCCGGACTTGTCAATCTCAAAACCCTCTTTCTCGACCACAACTCCTTCTCGGCTCTTATTCCCGCCTCAGTCTCATCTCTCCATCGCCTTCGCACCTTGGATCTCTCCTACAACAACCTCACAGGCCCAATCCCCTCCGGTTTGACCACTCTGGTCCGGCTCTACTATTTTCGGCTCGATGGCAACCGGTTAGGCGGCGCCATCCCTCCGCTCAACCAGTCCTCCCTCCTGGTCTTCAATGTTTCCCGGAATAACCTCACCGGCGTCATTCCGGTCACACCCACACTGTCCCGCTTCGGCACCTCCTCCTTTTCTTTGAACCCTGGTCTCTGCGGTGAGATTATACACAAGGAATGCCTTCCTCGTATACCCTTCTTTAGGTCCTCGGAACCGGCACCATCCCCGGGGGCCGCGGCGGCGTTCGGACAGAATGAAGAGGTGCAAGGGCTTGTGCTACCTCCACCATCCCAAAAGCAGCACGAGCGAACCAGCGTGATTCTGGGATTCTCATTCGGGGTTTTGGTTCTACTTGTGTCCCTAGTGTGCTTTCTACTGTCGCTAAATCGGCGGAAAAAGCAAAAGGTGTTGTCGCCGACGATGGCTTCGGATTCCGCAGCTGCTGCCGACGCTGCTGCGGTAATGAGGGTAGAAGAAGAGAACGAACTGGAGGCGAAGGTGAAGAAGATGCAAGGAATGCAAGTGGTGAAGAGTGGGTGTTTGGTGTTCTGTGCCGGGGAGCCGCAGGTTTACACCCTAGAGCAGCTGATGAAGGCTTCCGCAGAGATGCTGGGGAGGGGGACGATCGGGACGGCTTACAAGGCCGTAATGGATAATCAAATCATCGTGAGCGTCAAGCGACTCGACGCCGGCAAGACGGCGGTGACCAGTAAGGAGTCGTTCGAGCGGCACTTGGAATCTGTGGGTGGTCTCCGACATCCAAATCTGGTTCCGCTCAGAGCTTATTTCCAGGCCAAGGAAGAGAGACTACTTATCTATGATTACCAACCCAATGGCAGCCTCTTCTCCCTCGTACACGGTATGCTCCTCGTCCTCGACCTGCATTGGTGAGTCTATTATGAAATTCGTCATTGATACTGACCGAGTTGTGCGATTCAACTCGGATTTGCAGGTATTCATGGCTTAATTTTTAATTAATTGAAGTAATTAAGCTCCCAAGTTTATAGATTTGTTTAAGTGAACACACAGAGATTCCTGTACTCCTGCACGGAATTCCTGCAGTGCACTGACCTAACTAAGTTGTGTCGGATACCCATACTCTTCTGGAGCCTGGAGAATGGTGGGTTATGGGTGGACCGTGGACACTGGACATATAGTAAAGGGTTTGCAATGGGCTGTAACTTGGAGACGCTTTGACTGACTGACTGACGGGGTTTGGCTGGTCTGGCTCGAGAGCTCACGTTATCTGCATCGATATCAGCTATCGCCTATCAGGTCAGTCAGGTCATCCTTTCCTAGTAGGAATGCTAAGTGAACAACGAGTTCGAGTTCATGGATGCAACTCTACTCTACTACGCCGGTGGGACCCATGAGAAGACACGTTTAATTTTCATCATCTGATTGTTGTTTGTTCAGAAATCTGAAATTACAATTCTACTCTACTAGCCTCTATAAATCGCATCTGCTCTGCTGGGGGCGGATTGAACAGTAAAACCCCCGTTTTTTATTTCCGTGGGACCCACTAAATGTCCAGTTGGCTGGGCTTGGGCGAAGAATAGAAGAGTTGCACGCATTACATACGTCGTTTGCTAACCAGCATTCCTGCAGGGTGACGAAAGAAAAGCGAAAAACAATGGGAATTAGGAATGGGGAACGGGGTCTCCCCCAACTACTCCCAAGGCATATATGAACACGTGGCAAATATGCAAGAGAACCAACACAGCAGACTTCTATAGTGTGCCCAAACCATCGATTACCGAATTACCAGGATACATAGCTATCAAGCCTATCTATCACCTTGAAAGTTAAAAAGTTAAAATTAAGTAGCGCGCCGTACACACGTACAGGGAGAAGGAAAAAGGAATCACCACCGTCACGGTAAGGATCCAAACACTTGCCGACGAGGCGATGGATCATGGATGACGGTGTTTACCAACCTTTTAGCCAAAACAATACGATGAAATGATGAATAATTGTGTGGTTGATTGTATTCCATTAATTTCTCTTTAAAGTCTTTAGGGTTAGAGTATCGTACGTACTACCTCTTTGAATTTAGATGATACATGATAGAGGTCAGAGACTCAGAGGTGGTGGTGCCTACATCTCCAGCGGTCCAGCCTCCCTGGTTCTGACTTCTGCTACCCTCTTGGTTAAATTGTTAGATTTTTTTTTTTATACTGTAATTCTCTTTTCTTTAATTTGGAGAGACGACACAGGTTCGAGATCAACTAGGGCCAAGCCGCTTCACTGGACGTCGTGCTTGAAGATAGCGGAGGACGTGGCACAGGGTTTGGCCTACATCCATCAGGCGTCCAGGCTCGTCCATGGCAACGTCAAGTCCTCTAACGTACTCCTTGGTGCCGACTTTGAGGCCTGTCTCACCGACTACTGCCTCGCTATTCTGGCCGATACCTCCGAAGACGATGCCCCTGACTCTGCCGGATACAGGGCCCCCGAGGCCCGCATATCTAGTCGCCGAGTCACCCCGAAATCCGATGTCTATTCATTTGGCATTCTCTTGCTGGAGCTTCTCAGCGGCAAACCCCCATCCCAGCATCCCTTCCTTATGCCCAGCGATCTTCTTAATTGGGTGAAATCCATCAGAGACGACGAAGGTGGGGACGAGAACCGGCTGGCTATGCTTCTCGAGGTAGCAACCACGTGTAGCCAGACATCTCCGGAGCAGAGACCAACAATGTGGCAAGTGTTGAAGATGATTCAAGAGATCAAGGAGACTGTGATGATGGAGGACAATCAGTTGGACTAATTTATATAACAATATACACCCCTTTTTTTCCCTTCCTAATTTCTTTCATTAATTAGTTGTCGCCATTACTGGGAGTCCTATTATTACTACTACTACTATTATTAGTAATAGCACTAATAGTTTCTTACACTGATCCGATGCAACAGGTCAACAAAAAACGACCAATAAATAAATAAAACACAACCAAGCCGGATCCAATGCCGATGGTTTCTAGCTACTTTCTAGTTGAATGTCTTCATCGTTCTCTTCTGATGTAAAGCTGTGCAAGCCTATATGGAAGACTGGCTGGGGTTTTCAATTGCTGAGAGGGCAAATTTCTTGTAATTTAGTTAATTAATTAATTCTACTCTTACTGTTTTCATGTTGTTTTAAAATACTCTTACTATTCCTTATATTCGCTCTGGCAAACCACTCCCCATTTTCAGTTGCTGTCAAGCCGAAGGCACCTTCTGAATTGCCTTGCCGTTCTCCTCGGTTTGCCCCAAACCACTACTGCAGAGGATTTTAAATCCACATAATTTGTCGGAACCCTGTTGTGTGTACTAAATCCAAGTTCGAGCTCCCAATGCATCTCTGCAAAGCTGTTCTTTTAGCGGTGCAAAAGATTACAAATGAATTCTCTACCAGGCTGCAACCCTTCAAAATTTAAATGTCTTCTACTTCAAGTCACCGTCCGGTGTCTCCCACCGAAAAAGAAGAATCCCCCAACTCCAGTCTCCCCATGAAACAGATCAGATAACTGTTCCAGAAATGTTTTTCAAGTTCTTTCTTTTTTATTCGAGGTGATAGGCCATGACATAAAAATTGTTAGAGTTTTCCCAATCACTTAAATCATATGATTCCTAGAACGGCTCGTTGACCTTGACCTTGACAGATACCTCGAGGGAGACCTGTTGTCCCCACTGTAAGGTGAATGTGAGCAGGAATACCTTGATCATCTGGAGCACGACATCTTAGCGTAGAATCGAACAGTTTAGTTTCAGTCCCAGAAAAGATAGTTTCCCGATCAGTCTCAAAGGCCGCGATCAAAGCTTTTGACTTGGTAAGAACTTCTTTTGATACATTCGAATAAACAATGTGAGATGCAAAACTTCATCCAGATCTCTTTACCAATAAATTAATAAGAAAAATATTTTTTTTCAGTTTTAATTTATCATTCCAAAATCTCCAAGTGCTTCGTCAAATTCAAATACCATAGCTGAGTCCCTCTACCCGAAGCGGGACAAAACCTTGTATATTGACCAAAAAGGGTTTCGGGTTCATACATTGAATCCAGACTGAGCTTTTGGATGGTGGTCCCTGCAGGCTGGGTTCCATTCACCAAAGGAACCCCGAAACCACCATTTATGACGTTGTTACCATTGTTCTAAATGACAGTTGATGAACTGCCTCCAAGGCTGCTGAGGAATGGAATGTTGTTGTTGATAATTGCGCAGTTGTCGCTGTTGAGGGGAATGCCATTGTTGACGGGGAGTACCGCACCGTTTGTCTGGCAAAGGGAACCTGACCGTTCATCGTTGGGTTGTTCATAATTCCTATCAAGGCTCAGTAGGAGTCTTCACAGGTCGGGTTTAGTTGGTTTGAATCATTTTTTTCAACTGACTTTGACGTAATCGATTTACTTATTGATTAAACATAAATCAATTGATCTTGAAGCAAAACTAAGCCAAACATGAAGGGTTGGTTTATAGGTTTAAGTTTATTTCTTTTTAATTTTTATGTAAAACCAAAATATATATTTAAATCAATTAGTTTTTTTATACAAACTGATATTTTTGTTAATAGATATTTAAATTTATACAAAATTGAATTAAAAATTGTATAATTGTATTATATTTATATTGGTTTTATGTTTTTAGTTTTTATCATAAATAACCAATTTTTTTTTTTCAAAGTTCAAACAAAACACAAATAAAATATATCAACATTTGACATATAGGATAGAGAATAATTAATAATTACTTAAAAATATAGGATCGTTTATGTATGAAAACCAAAACTAAACCAAGTTGTCAATTTATTTTCTCATACAAACCGAAACCGACTAATAATTTTGAAAAATCGACCAACTTGAGGGTTGGATCGGGCCGATTTAGTTGGTTTGACATTTAATGTAAACACCCCTACGACTCAGGTAGAGGCGTTTGACTCACCAAATATATCATGCATGAAGAAGGACAATGGTTGCTGGGGGTCCGCATTCACCATGGTGGCACTGGTAGTAGATGTAGAAGAAGCAGCATCTCGTTGTTTGATGGCTGGTGGACCATTAGTGATAGAAGTGGGCACAGGTGGTCTATCTGGGACTGCCGTTTCAACTGGACTGGATGCCTCCGATGCTGTTGTTGGAGGGGACAATTATTTGTGAGGATTCGAGTTGAGGTGGCACATGTGTCAGTGAGGGCTAGTAACAATAGGTTGGCAGTAAGATCAGTACCAATACAATCAAAATAATAAGACTAGATTAATTTATTATGTGGATTTTATTAAAATAATAATTAAGTTTATATTTTGAAAATTTAAAGCATAAGAACATTTTTATCCTTTCAATTCAGTTTAAAAAGAGTATAAATACAAATATCTATAGTACAGATACATACAAAATAATATAAAATACAAAGTTTTATGCTCTATATATTGATATTTACACTCTTTACAAAATCATTGCCATGTCCAAGCCACGTCAGTATTAGAAGAATCAGTGTTGAAATTTATGTTTGATTTTCTGATTTCAATAAATGATTTTTAGTAAATTCATCAAAAATTAATTCTTGAAATCAATCCTTTTTTAGAGATCACCTTTTTTCGATAATTTCTTGATTTTTAGCTGATTCCAATACTTTTGAGAAAAAAAAATAGACTTATATGACAAATGATATAAATTAATAAAAAATTTACTGATTTTGAAAAAACACCCACTTTTGAAAAATCGATAAGGCTAAGCATCACCTTAAATTTTATAACAAAATATATTTAAGTAATTTTTAAAAACCGGAGGATATATTTAAATTGTTTACTGAAGTACTGAAAGTAATTAAGTAACCCTAAAATTTAAGTTCCGACAATCGTCGCGCTTGAGGTTGGTCTGTTATACGGCGTATATGCGTGTACTAAGCCCTGGCCCCTGGCTCGTTTGGTCCCACTCAGGGGCCAGGGCCATGACCATGAGCCACCGCCTCACCTCCCGCCTGATTCGTGAAATATTATAATAAGATGGGATGGGACACGAATGAGAATCTGCTACAAAAATCTTCTACCCAGAAAACGACACAGATGTATCACTTTTTTCAACATCGTCATCAGTCATCAAGTCATCACACACGAACCAAAAGGAGTAAAGCTGGTAATGGAAAACGAGAGTGAATGTATCGGTGGAAGACGAGGACCAGCTGATACTATGGATCACCATGCTACAGACATGGAAATGGAGACTGAACCGGCGACTGCGCCCTCCTCGAAGCCAGAGCTGATAAACAGCAACCAGAGCTTGAGGGGTCTACTTGCATTGGCTCGCCAGCTCATCAATGAGGGAAACCCTTCCCTATCTCTCCAAGCGGTAATGGAACAAACAAAACCCTCCCCTTTTTCTTCCTTTCTCCTTCTTTCCTTCCATCTTCACTTTATTTGCTTCCCTTGATGAGATTTTGTTGGTGGTTAGAATCATTATTGTATATGTGTAATTTTAGCTTCCTGAACACATCTAGTTGTTTTATAAAGCTTTCTTGGTTTTTCTGGGGATTTATTACCATGCATTAGGTCAGCGAACTTTCCCGGTCCATTGAAGAAGGGCGGAGTAATGTTCGATTTGTTCACCAGAAAATTAAAATTTGTACAACAGGTCCACATAAGTTCTATTGAACTTCTAAATGATAATGTGTGTATTTAATTCTCGTAATATTTTATTTATCCGTTTATGACTTTTCTTTTAAAGGTTTTTATCATCTTTTCCTCCTCCTACTATAACAGTAATAATCTATCCTGTCATAAGAAACGAAAACATAATTATTAGGTTATTGGGCAACAAAAGTTACAAGTCAGATAAAAAAAAAAACAGAAGAATTTTTGTTAGGTCGTTTAGGCATTCTAAAGTTGAGGCCCTTCAAAGAATCCACTGGTGGGATAATTATAAATAAAAAAAGTGAAATAAGAAAGCAAACATTTAAGAAAACGCATAAAATTGAACGTATTTAAAAGAGTACTTCTAACAACAATATCGATTATGTTATAAAACAATATAATGTTAAATTTAAAAGTCTCCAATTTACATCTACAGGCTACAGATCTTATTTATTCATAAAAAAAAATACACCTACAGATCAAGATCGTCATAAATTCACTAACTTCTTTGGTGGAGAATTGTTATTTGTTGATATGTCTACCTGGACAGAACACCTAAGAGATAAGGTTGATGCAAACATGGAAGGGCTATGAATCAGGCCATTGTGATAAGAAAAACTAAATCCTTAGCATCCAGCATGAAAACATCATTTAGATAAATACTATGATAGATCCTTTGGCAGCAGGAGGAGTTTATCTGGAGTATCTGTACCAGGGATATGTCATAAATGGCAGACAATTGTAAAACTTCAGTCATTTTCTTACCATCTTTTTAATCGGTTGTAGGTAAGCTTGTTTTGAGCTGGGGAGAAATGGAATTCATGGGACATTTCTGAAATTTGAACTCTTATGCTGTTTGAAAGAGAGAGATAAATTGTGTATTGACTATTGTGGGAAAGAGATAATATTGCTGTTTTTCTTAAAAAGGGAAAAGAAACAAAAGTTTTAAGATGCGGGCTCCATGTATTTGATATTGGTGTGGAACATTATCATTGGTTCCACAGCCCGCAACAGCTAAACCTTGCTCGAAATGACAATCAACAAGAATGTTGCGAAAAAGGGCTGAGGATATAACAGCGGCTGAGGAGACATAACTAGCTATAGTTCCTGTAGTGGTTTTCTGGCTATGCTAGTCATGAAAGGTATCATTTTAACTTTGGATCGGGTGATGGACTTTTGGACTCTGTTAGCAGCTCTAGATCCCCCCTTGATGTGATGCTCTAAATTCTTATTGTTTGCAAATAAGATTTATAAGATTGTTATTCAGCCAATAGCAATTTCCTTACTTAAACTATTAGTTCAACCTCAAATGGTCCAACACATAAATGTTAAATGGTTAGGTTAGGTTGAATGGCTTTCACAAAATAAAACAATTTCATCTCACCTCCTAGTGCCTCCAGGTTAGTGTTTACCTGATTCTGTAATAAGGTTGAATGATAATCTAGATGGTTTTATCCTCTTATGTGGTCCAGGTTTGCAAATGTTCATAATATGCAATGCTTCAGTGATTGTATTTTGTCTGTAAAATTGAAGATGATTGTTCTTTACTACAGTGAGGTACCTGATTTGTGGTGCCTATGAGAAATGTTGCTTTACAACTGTTTTTTGGGACCCTAACAGGGGCTGACTTAGGTCAAGCAAATAACCTTGCCTAACTACAAAAATTAAATTGTAGTAAGAAGGGCCTGCTTGCTTTGTGGTAATATGGCCATAAAGAAGTTTATGTTGTATGTGCATTTCTCAAGTAAAGGCAGTGCATACTGCATAATTAACAGTGCCTCACCATTTTTATTCCTGATAGCGGAATTTCTATAAACAAAGAAATTGGAATAAGTTGTTTCAGCTTGTTATTTTCTGTCACAATAGAACTTCCATTGTGACCTTCTTGATGCCTCTTCCCTTTTAATGATGGATAAGTTTAAAGCAGGTGTCAGATCTTCTCTGAGTGGACTGTTTTTCAGAGAAGCTCACTATCAACCCTCTACACCTATACCTTATCTCATGTAGCTTTTTGATTGATTGACCTAGAATATTGCTTCTTCTACTTTCCTTATCCTTGTTTGAAATGCTTTTTCTCTTAGTTACGGATTGTGCTTCATCTTTGGAAGATATAAATTTAGAACCTTTGTACTTACCATCAGCATGTGAAAGTGAAACAGGTTTTGTTGGCAGTGAGATCTACTGGTGGGGAGGAGGCTGTGTTTCAAACTCTACATCGTGCTCGTGAACTGTACAGAAATAAATTGCAAGCAAATGCTGCTGTTGATGAACTGGCTTCCTTATTTGCTGAATGTGCAATTGCTGCACAGCCATTGGAATCGAAACCATCAGACTTGATAGAGCCGTCCATGATGCCAGAGGCACATACAAACTCTATTCTTGCAAAAACAGGTAGGGAGCAAATTGTGTTAGATGCCTTCTCAGATGGGAGCAGCTTCATTTGCTTGCAGTGTGGGGGTCTTGTGAGTAACCATCGCAGAGAGGAACACCTTGCATATTGGTGTTGTCAAATCTGATCCCAGAATTGCATTTACACCTGTTTGTTTTTATGCATGATGAGATGAGCACCACCATGTACCATGCAAATTGGTGATGCCATTTTTGACCATGCATGCTAAGGTCGCGTATGTACACGTTTCTGCATAAATGGAAAATTTGTTCAAACAATCTTTTACAATAACCATATCTTGTAGGAACTAGGAATCCTATATGGCTAAATGCCAAAGGGCCAAAGGCCGCTTCAGGGACCCTTGGCCTCGGCAAAGCCCCCTCTTGATGTCTCGTCTCTTAGAAGAACGGGATTTCTGGGAACATTGACGACCCAGATCTTGGGTTGGAATTGTTTACTTCAGTCTGTGAATGATGACTTAGACCCGATTTAATTGCATCATTTCCCTGCAATATAACCAACTAAAGAAGATGCTGCTATTAGATCTATTCTGAGCGACTTTGGACTGGATTTGATCCAATCGATCCAGTCCAATGTGAGTCCATAGACCAGGTCTAATCCAATCCAATGAATATTTTGGACCGGTCTAATTCATTGTCTGGACTGTCTAATCTGTTCAAATTCATTCTGATTTAGATTGGTTTTAGCCCAAACTATCTATTGACACCCATATTTTTATTTTATATTAATGGATCAGATATTGGTTTAATCCAATCAATCTAATATAAATTTATTATGGATGGTCCAATTCAATCTACTAAATATTTTGGATCGGATTGGTTTAATTCAATATGTTTTTTGGATCGGATTGGTTTAATTCAATATGTTTTGTTGGTCTGTCCAAATTGATTTTGAACTACATCGGGTCTAATTAGGGTTGTTCATAAGAATGCCCAATCCGACCAAATCGACCCAACTCGAGTCGGCCGGGTTTTTATCAGTACCGGTCGGTTTCAGGTTAGGAAAATATATAAACCGATATATCGGGTCGGTTTTGGTTTTCTTGTGTGAAAACCGAAACTAACCCAACCCGAACCGAACTAGTCTTCTACTAGTTCGGTAGTTCCTAGTTTGAGTAGTTTCTTACTTAACTATAACTAGTCTTCTACTAGAACTAAAAGGCCCATTAGGCAATTTATCCTAGTCTCTAACTTTCTATAATCTTTTACACCAAATAGGCAATCCATTAGGCAATCACAATTAGAATTCAATTAGGTGCCCTTTTGTACAGGAGCAAAACTGAAACCGACCCAACCTGACTCAAACCGACTAGGTCGGTTTGGCCTATCAGTGGGTCGGTTTCGGTTTCCACCTCAAGTAACTCGACCAGGTCGGGTCGGTTGGGAAAACCTCAATAAACTGACCCAACCCGACCCATGAACACCCCTAGGTCTAATTCAAAACCAGTCTATTGACACCCTTAGGTACCAACTACCAACTGATGTTGAATTATAGCTTTCTGGGGAGGAGCCCGCCCACGAAGGAGGGGAGGATTGCTTCATCATGCATGGGATGGGTTTAGAAAATGACTTGGAGACCGAGCCGGTTAGGGGTCTGGTTACTAAGTCGAACGGTCTGACCATTCGAACTGAACGTTGGGCCCATTTTGACAAAAAAATAAAAAACAGTCAAATTGTTTGAATGATTAATTGCCCAGTTCAGCGATTCGATGACTAAAATCAAGTGTTTTGGGGAAAACAGAATTGGTCACCTGACCGGTTCTTGGTTTTTTCAATCCGACCATCCGGTCCAGTCCGGTTTTGAAAACCATGAAGCCAAATGTTGTAATTTTTTTTTTTTTCATCATGTGTAAAGCGGGGGAAGATTTTGATTGTCCAGTGAAAGAAAGGTCCCTCCCGCGAATTGGAGAAATCTTTATTCCCAAATTTCCATATTTCAATCGCCAGCTAGTAAAGTTGGATTAGAACGTCACAAGTTAATAGGACCAACGCCTCAAAATCACAAAAGAACAGACCCAGTTTATCTTTTGTCCTTTTTTATTCAAAGATCCCCATGTCCATGGCGCCTACCAGTTACATCTGTGACGCTGGTATAACAGTAATTTATATCATTTCGCAATGAACACAGTTAAAATTGAAAAAAAAAGCATGACGACTGAAAATCTAAAATAAGTTTCATAAAAATGGTTAAAACTCATTAGAAATCAAAATTTGTCAACCGAAACTGTTGATTATTCCTGGATATTCTAAAATATCTGACAGATTACAAAATTTCTCTTAAAAAGTATATTAAAATATTTGGATATAAGTTGAAACATTCAGAAGGTTTGGCCAAAGCAGATCCGGGTAAATTTTCGGTTGCTTTTGTTGTAATTTAATGAAAACAATGTTTTCGAACAGCCGTTGATCCGGATGCTTGGACTATTTGACCTAGGAACCATCTAGCAACCAATTTCATTTTACCCTAAATCTGGTTCTTGGTCAAATACCATTGAATTGGTTAGCGACTCACTGACCTGGGCGGTCGAGCTGTTGGTACATTCAACCTGTTCAATGGTTTTGACTATTTTTTATTTTTAAAATTAGAATGAATTATTCATTCAAACTGGATGATCAAACCATTGACCCAGAAACGGTGATTAAAACAGTTCCGGTTCTAGGTCGGTTTTTAAAACCAAAATAAAATTTAGTAAAACTTAAAAAGGTATGATCATACAATCAACTCCGGATCTCTTGCCCACGAGAACCTTGCTCCGCTGCGATAAACGTGGGCAGGAGATCCGGGCTCTATGCAATCGTGGCATGGGATGAGTGAAAAACTTGCAAGTCTGGTATAGTCAAGAAAGAGTGTTCCCGGAGTCTGGACTCTCTGGATAGAAAAACTAATAAGCAAATGATGAGCTGTAAACAAGATGAACAGCACAATCACAATCAGAAGCGTCATAGCCCTTTGTAATCTTCAAGGCTCGGCTCAAGCAGGCATCAGAAATCATTCCAACTGGATGATAATAATTGCTAATCAACCGACCATTTGGATTCATATTTCACATTCACAGCTATAAAGGGGAGGAAGCTTCTATATGGCCTTGGCTATATGGGGCCGGTGGGACTTACCAATTCATCAAATTATATGGCCATATGGGTAAATAGTAACATCTCGTTTTGTTTATCTCCCTATCTCCAAGCGGGAACTTGCAGACATCAATGAACGTTTCCATTTCCATTCCCTTTCGCTCCTTGACTCGACTCTTGAGAGTATGTATCGTATCGTATGAGTGAGTCATTCCTTTCCTTGACTCATATATTGTTTTCTGCGTGCAAACCACGCAATTGAATAGCATACCTGCTGGCGCCCATTTTGATTTTTGAAGCTGGTGTAAATTGACAAGGAGTCTTGACCTACTCTGACATATAATTCCCATTTAAGTGCTTTGTGGGCCCAAATTCAAACGATTCTGTATATGTTTGATATCGGTGATGTAGAAAAACGGTACTGTCGGTGTGTGGGTTGAAAGTTAAACAGTGTCTTATTTTTTTTTTTTTGGAAATATTGTTTTTAGGTCGGATGTTTTTTGAAGTAACAATATAATGTTTTTTGTTTGATATCAATCTTCCAGGAAATGTTTTCAGTACTGGTATCTATTATCCATTGCCATGTTATGTCTTTGTCACGGTCACCTCATGTTCCTGTAGGTCCAGGAAATGTCAAATTCGGTGTTGCTCTAAATTACGTCTTACTGATTTTTAAGGTGTGGCTTAGAACACTATTTTTTATGGAAAAACAATTTTAAACAAACAGTCAATTTCCTGGAGCACTGTTTTTTTTATATGGCACTGATGTGTTGCCATTTTCTGAACTCTAAAACAACGGCATCGATGCCAAACAGAAGCCATTACTTTGTTTTCTACGAGCAAATAAAAAAAAGATACAAGACTTCAAAACCTCCCTTCAGATTTCATGTTAATGCTAAAGACCTCCCCTTAGACTAATATCTCTTCTATTGGATGATGTCATATCAGACAAGAGACCTCTCCTCTGTTGAAAATTTGTCATGATAAATCTTGGAAATAAAGAACAAAGAGACAAGGTAGGGATGACTCAGCCGTTTGTTCAAGATTTTTGATCCTTTTGAATTTACCCCTGTTAATGTACCACCTCACTCATGTTCTGGTTTCTAACCTTGCATTACTATTTGCTCCATCAATCCATTATTGATACCAGTTACCGGAGCGTATGAGAGCTTTATCAATTATTCATGGAATAAATAATGAAGCATGAAATTTCCTCAATATGCCATGACAAAGCTGAATTAGGAGACAACGTCCTACATTTTGATTCTCAATTCAGAGACTGTGACAAGGAGAGCCAACACTCTTTTGATCAATTTGTAATTTTGACTCTTAATTCAAGAAATATGGGAGTTACATCAAAATCTCATTAATTCGTTTGTTTTTGAATCCCACGTTTTAGAACCTAAACACCATCTCATTTTTTAACCGAATTGGACGCCATTTGTAGGTCAAGGCAGAAACCAAAACTCACTTGACGCAGCTGTTATCACGAGGTTCAATCCTCAAAGTAAAAACCATTAGACCCGAACCTCACTTCATCTATGGTGGTGGTCTATTTCTACATTAGGAGACCGCAAAAGACACTACCTTGAGAGTTGATTCCTTGAGCTCATCACAATTTGTTTGTTTGTTTTTTTTTAATTTGAAGAATTAGAAAGGGTAAAATAGACTTTTTGTTCATTCTGTTGGATATAACTCCACTGGAGGAAGACAGGGAGTCTTAATTTTATCTATTTAATTTGAAAAGTGCAAAGAGATAGATTTCAATATTTACAAGTACGTCAAACGAGGTTTAAGTCCTTTACCCATTTAAAAAATAAAATAAATGATCATTTACTTGGACAGTAGACACTCTTCTATTAGTTTTAATTTTATCTATTTAATAAAATCAATTCTACTTTGCATATTACTAAAATAAACCCTATAATTTGTAATCGAGCTTCCGTAGGAACCATGTGCAAACCATCATCAGAAATTACATTATACAGGAATCCCTCTGTTTCTACCGAAAAGAACAACGGAAAATTGAAAGAAGAAAGCATACATAAGAAGGCCAGTTACTGATTGTTAACTCTGAGGAGTCAGATAGCTAGAGAGACAAAAGCATGAAAACTGGCCTCTTCAAGAGAACCGTGCCGGAGGCGGGCCGGAGGCGAGAGGAGCTCTTGGATGAAAAGATGGAAGGC